CAACCACATTTGCAAAAACTTATTTCTAAAATATCAACTTTTTTTTTTAAGATTTTTAAAAATTTATTTATTTGACAGAGACACAGCGAGAGAGGGAACACAAGCAGGGGGAGTGAGAGAGGGAGAAGCAGGCTTTCCGCGGAGCAGGGAGCCCCATGCGGGGCTCGATCCCAGGACCCCGAGATCATGACCTGAGCCGAAGGCAGACGCTTAACGACTGAGCCACCCAGGCGCCCTATTCAACCAGTTCTATATGGATATTAAGGTCACCATATGTTTCTTATTGGACAAATGTAAATTTCCAGGGGATAAACCAATGTTTGCTAGCTCATAAAAACAAGTCTAATTTATTTATGAAAAGATAGGTTTTCTGCATTCTAAACAGATTTATCTACTCATTTAATTCAGTTTTCCTAACAATGTATATAATTCATGCTATTTCATTATGTAGTTGTTTCTTTAGCCATTTCACTTTGACTAGCAGTATTTCCTCAAAGAGATTTTCTTTCTCTTCCTCCTCTGTGAGATTCTCCTACAAGGCCTGATAATGTATATGGAGACATTTTGTAAAGTATAAAACACCATTCAGTGTGAGTTATGTTTAGAAAGAGTGTCATGGACATAGCAGATACTCAGAAAGTCTGTCACACAGTTTTACTAATATATTATTTGTATTTATTTCATTGATTGATATTTACAACTCAAAGGAAGGAGATACATTCCACTCATTTTATCATTAGACCATAAAAATCCATATGAATGGCACTGACAACTGCCTTTCCTGAAATTGGAAAGGAAAAAAAAAAAAAGAATATGCTACCCACCTTTTTCTTTTTCTTTGAGATAAGCCGACACTAAATCATGAAGAAACATGATGAGCTCAGCATCCATAGTCACACAAATGTGGTCAGTGAACTCTGTCACCACACTACATTCTACCTTCGGCTTCAGGCTGGCATCTGCAATGGCAAAGTTCTATATGAAAAGATTTAATGAGATAAGTCCCATTCTCTTCCTGTTAATAAGGGATTTACATGGGTTCATGTAAATGAATCCATTTGAATGCAACTATAGAGAACTGAGTAGTTTCTGTATGTGATTTACAAATGATGACAGTTTATTGAGCACTTTCCAAGTACACGCCATTTATTCCTCATAAAAACCCTCTGAATGAAATACATTATTATTGTCCCCCATTTTGCTGAGGAGAAAGAGGCACAAATGGATTAAATTATTTGCTATAGGTCAGATAGCTGGGAAGAAAATTTGACTAAGCAAATCAATTTCATTAGACTATATCACTATTACACAAATAACCTGTGAGAAAATAGTAATTGGAAGTTCCTTTAGAATTTTCTTAGTAACTTTAGAAACTATTTTTCCACATACCCTGTAATGAAGGTTCCTGTGGTTCTTGAACATGAATGGATTTAAATTCAAGCTGCATCCTTGGTAATGCAAAGATAGTCTCTGTTTCATGATTGTAACTAGAACCTCCTCTGAATCCACTCAACAAACTAGAATTCTTCACTGTAGTGCTATTTTCAGTGTTATTAGCATCAACATTACGAAGTAGGTTTAGCTCTACATGGACAATAATAAAGACAAGAAGAATCAAATTAAACCAATAGGCATTGATAAACCTATAGCTTTCATGACACTATCATACACAGAATTTTTATCATTTTATTTTTATTTTTTTAAAGATTTTATTTATTTATTTGAGAAAGAGAATGAGAGAGAGAGAGAGACAGCACAAGAGGGGGGAGTGGGAGAGGGAGAAGCAGACTTCCCGCTGAGCAGGGAGCCCAATGTGGGGCTCAATCCCAGGACCCCGGGATCATGACCTGAGCCAAAGGCATTGTTTAACCAACTGAGCCACCCACGTGCCCAGAATTTTTATCATTTTAAAAGCTGGAAAATAATGACTCACATTTTTAAAAACAGAGCCATATAAAGCTTTGGTCTTGAGAGTAGTTACCTATATATATATTTATCTACTTAAATATATTTATATATAGTGATACGTTTACATATATATGTAGTGTTTTACTTATATATATAGATAGTGATGTATATCACTATTCTCAAGACCAAAGCTTTATAACATGATTTTGGATAAATCTAATACATTTTGTTTCTGTTTCTCAAAGTTTAAAATATTATTTTTAACTAAATTCATGTCTAAATTTAAAGAGTTTCATTAACCTCAGAGTTCTCCATAGATAGAATACTTTACTCTTATATAGAATTTGCAATTAAATACGTTCCTGACCTTGAAATAAGGTAGAAGTCCTGATTTTCCCCAACATAAGTGCTATGGTTTTCTTATAAAAATTAGCAGTTTTTAGGTAGCAGTGCGGTTTGCTAATAGCCCCTCCATGGTATCCCAGCCAAAAAGAAGCCCCTCCTCTAAAATCTCTTTTTGGAAGGTAGAATAGTCAGTAGAGAATAGCCAATACATGCATAATCTTCTAATTTACTTCCTTATCCTCCTTTGTTCTCAGAACATTTTTAATAGTCTCTAATCCCTGGTACAGCCTATTCCATGGTAACTATTTTCAGTGGGGCCCAAGTCATCTTTCCCATTTTGAAAGGTGGTTATTTTTAAGTAAAACATTCAAGTCTTAGCAGGTCTCAGTGTAGTCACCTTTCCAATACAGATGACATGATTGGTAAAATCAGTACTATAAACTTAAACAAAAAACAGCCACAAAATAAGAATTTTCCTGGCCACATTATTACAAGACTGGTGATTCTAACCAAATGGAAAAACTCATCAAAAGCACTCTTTTTAAACTTATTTCATAAGAACAGTATTTAGTTTCATTTTATTCCAACCACCCCAAACCTCAAAGTTTGTGGCATTCTATTACTTAGTTGTGTAGTAACTTTACCAAACTTCTGATGTTTAGCATCACTACAAAGATATTTTTCTAACTATAATAAACTTCATTTATTTTTTATTTATTTATTTATTTATTTATTTTTAAAGATTTTATTTATTTGACAGAGAGAGACACAGCGAGAGAGGGAACACAAGCAGGGGGAGTGGGAGA